CTTCCTTTTTCGTTAAACCCATTCTTCTCTGGAATGAGCTACCTTTGGAGGTCAGGATGGTAGATAGTAGCAACGCTTTCAAATTGAAACTACGAGATCACATTCGGAAGAAATTGGCGGATTCTCCACAATAGTTTATTATCGACACTTTTTTCCCGTGGAATATGATAATATGTATTGTATAATATTATGTATACGTATAGTCTGTGCTATATATATATATATATATATAAAACATATTTATTGTATTAATATAATGTATATGTATGCCTACATATATTTATATTTATTGATATATGTATGAATAATTTTGTAGCATTTGTTTTTTTTTCCTTGTTTTTATCAAGAAGATGCACCTACCACTCCTATTTCTCCACCACCCAAAGGTAGACTGGCAGAGAACGCCTAAGGCGTTAAGTCCGCCATTGTACGTTGTGCAAGAAGTGTAAAATAAATAAATAAAATAAAGGAAAGTAAATTCTTCCGTTCTGCTTATTTAGATTTATTAAACAATTTCTGAAATGGACTTTCATAATTTTTTGTGGAGGTAGGATAGAGACACAGTTAATTTATATGAGTATGTCGCTTTTTATAAGTTTTAATTTTTTTTCCGACACAAACTTCTCTTCTGCTCGCTTGAAAGGCTATCTTTTTGATTCATCTTATTGTTATCTAAACCTTTTATAGTATAACTCAAAAGATTCTTAAATTCACACGATAATTAGCAACCCAAAACCATGCAACCAATCCAAACCACCCAATTCGAAGCTTACAGCATAGGTCAAACTTACTTCAAATTAATCCGCAGAAGTACCTACCTACTTTAGGAACATGATAAATGATGTTCGATCTAAATGACTTTCGTCAATCGTCACGATTGGTTTTTAAAGTCATCACATCAATATATCATGATCTAATTATTTGCTAACAACTAAAATAATCGTACCATCCATCATTATAATGTGGTTGTTTGATTTCGTTATGTAATTCATAATGTACTACAAATCACAATCTACGGTCACTGTTAATACAAATGTTAATATGTGTAGAGATAGAAAAGAATATGTTATGTTTTTTTTCCAGATGATAATATTAAAACCTCTTTTTTAGTTCAAAAATATGTGAGTTTATTTTTTAGAATAGATTAAAATTAAATTTGAATTTTGAATGGAATCTTATTGCCTATTTCTTTTTAAAATTGGTTGTTAGGTTTTTGACGCTTAGCGATGACATAATGTACTTATAATATGGTGAACCTATCGAAATCTTGGATTTTTTAACAGAAAAATAAACCTTGAATCAGAGTTAAATAATAAAACTTTACTTGGTATCTGAACTTAAAAGATATGAGTTAACGGGGCAATATTAAAAATGAAAGTATTTTGAATTTCTATTCTTTTGATCATTTTTTTTTTTGCTGACTGTGCCCAAAAGCTGATCAGCAGCATCAATGGAATATGTATTATGTATCATTGTCTTCGAAAATGCTATTGGAATGATTGATGACTCTTTTCTCAGTTTGTTATAGGGACATAGGTCATCAGGTCAGGGTGATGGAGAACTCCTTGATGTAACGCGGATGACAGACAAGGTTGTGGATATGGTCATCATCAGGGTGCCATCTTCAAGGTTCATCAAATGAGATTCTGCCTGGTTGCTTAATACTGACAACATATTTTAGAAAACCGTATAAGATTTTGCAGAGATCACAAGAAACATCTACATAGCGGTTCCGAATTTCCTTGGTTGCTTCACCAATTAAATTCTGATGAATTTTGGTTACTAATTCAAACTACTAAACCACTCATGATAGTATTTTTTTTCTTGACTTCTCCCGCCCAGGGCCGGGTGGAAGGGGGTGTCAGACTCTTACTGACTAAAAACCCTGTTCCTTCTCCTGCTCTGGGCCGAGGTCCCGGCACTCATGATAGTATTAACGTAGCAAGTAAGCTAAGCCTCTAATATTTTTTTTAAGTATTATAATAATGATAATGATATTTTGAATGAATAAATATCAAACTGATACACTGATTGTTACAAGACTTATATATCAAGTAACAAATCAATAAGTAAATAAATTAAGTAAAACAAAACGATTTACAAAGAAAATACACGTAATACTCGTATATCGTGTGTGCGCGTGCGCCGACCACAAATTGAGATTGATGCATCTTTATATGGTACAAGGTTGAACATTTGTTTGACTCGAAGAATTTCAAAAATAATTGCTATTGTAATAAATTGGTGCAAAAGCACCAAGGTTCAGGTTCTGACAACGTAATGAGGTATCATAATAATGTGTACTGTATTTTTTATGGTGTTCCTTATTTAAATGAACGAAGATTTTTCAGTGACAAAAGAAAAGCTTCCTTTGTGTGGTTTTAAAGACCTATATTCCATGATCACATAAATTAAGCCCTTCATTTTTAGGACTCCTATGAAGTACTGGCTTGAACAATATACTGTTGGCGTCAATGATATTACAAGTAAAAAGGTATAGATAGTTCATAAGCTCTCAACAAGTGATACATTAAAATTTGGCTAACTAGCAACACTTTTTCATATTTCTCTATTTTTTACTCGCGATTATTGAATCATGCCATCCTACTTTGACGTCTAGTCATACGAATTATTCATGTGTGCATCAGTGTGCCGTTTTTGAAAATCGAATGTTGTTTATGTAACCTATATACACAATTTTAATAATAATATCATTGGTTAGCGCAGTATATGGGTGCGCTGAGTAAAATTTCACTTTTCTATAGGATATGACGGCTAAGGATCTAGACTGATTTCCTGATTGTAAGCAATTGGTGCCGCCCATAGACTACAACATCGAGGAGTTGCAAATGCACTGCTTTGAGGCTGAAGTTATTACGGATTTGAGGATAGGGGTTTTGGGGAGAGTAAAGATTGAGCCTCCAGTAAAGTCCCTAACGCAGCAAATCATAATGAAAGCTTTGATTCATCCTGATTTTCTGTGAGGTTTTCTGTGCTATCACTCCAACCGAGCCGTTCAGTATTATATACTAATATTATAAAGCTGAAGCTCCGGAACTAGTGGTTCAAAATTATTAGTAACAATTCCTGTATGTGAAATTGTGTTTGTAATCGCACCCACGACACAGGAGAAAATACTAGCGTGGGGCAACGTTTAATTAAAAAAAGAAAAAATCTTTTTGTGTTTCTTAGTCCATTTATTTAGGAAGGCTGCAGGCTTTTTTTGTGAGGGGAAAATCATCTAATGACTTCTCCCGCCCAGGGCCGGGCGGGAGGGAGTGTCAGACTCTTGACTAACTAAAAACCCCCCCGTTCCTTCTCCTGCTCTGGGCCGAGGTCGCGGTGCCTCATTGCAAGGCTACAGGCTGAAATATCACACCATATTACTTCTATAGGAACCGAGCAGCCAGTAAGACTGCGCGAGAGTAACTAGTAAAATATTCAAATAACTCAAATCCGCTACTCAGTCATGCTCAGCACGTCGATTCTATAAAATTTGTTCGATTTTGAATCTTGGTCGAGCGTGGAGTGACCGTCGAAGTGACGGGAAAATTACATTATAGAATGCCACTTTTAACGTCATCTCATACTTTATCTATCAAAATGTTGCGGTCAATTTAGTTCAACTCGCAAGTGTAGCGCTAGTGTACTACTACTCACAGCGGATTCAGATTCGAAGTTTAGAATGAAGTCTTACATAATCACACTGAAGCAACACAACTCAAGAATTCAAGGCAGTATGAATATGACGGAATCAAATTCCTCAGTCTTTCCTACTGAACAAAGCATATGTCATCGCGATGTTTACTTGATGATTATTGTGAATTATTTATTACTGACAGCGATGCATCAGTCCAATGCGCAAGCGCCGTGATATGTGAAAGGTGACAACTTATGTAAATATATAAGGAATTTGTGAATTTGCTTGTGCGATAAGGGAGCTTCGTGATTGGTTATTTGCTTTATAAACTTTATACATATTTAGTATAACGATAAGAATCTATGGAGATCGGTACTAAAGCTGTATACCAACAGCTGGTTCAGTAGCCAAAAATTCTTAGAACGGTTAGAAAAGAGACGACAGAAATAGGTCCGCAAACGAGCAGACGGATTACCCGATGGTAAGCAATCAGCGCCGTTTGGACATTCCCAACGGAATAACGAGTGCGTTGCTAGCCTTTTGGGGATTAGGGTTTCGGATATTTAAGGATAGAGGAGGGATTTGAGGAAGGGAAGGATTGGGCCTACGGTAACTTGACTTACACGGCGAATCACAACGCTGTGGTTGTTTCACGCCTGTTGTCTGTGAGGCCGTGGTATCGCTCCGGTCGAGCTGTCCTATTCGTGCCGAACCTTGGCTCTCCCACACTTTCTCTGTGTTGGGCGCCAAACAAGCTGGGTGTGATAGGTACGTCTTTACGCAGATGGCTTACCATCTGAAGATGGTATAATTACCTATTCACCCAGGAACACTCAAATCACCGAGGAGTTACAATTTTTTAATGGTGGTATATCTTATATTTTTCTCAACTAAACAATGTTGACAACTTTTTGGCGAACAACCGAAAGAACGCCTATGTGATAATGATACTTTTTCAGCGTGCAAATACGGGAAATTTATTTACATTACGAGCTCCTAATATGTATCTAATTAATTAGATAATACTGCTGAATGCAGGAACCGGCCTATCCATCCAAATCTAGAAATAATTAGGAAGCGTATTTTCAGCTGAAAACGTCTTCAAGTTGATGATGAACTATCTATACTATGCTATGGTTTCTATTACACATCACATCATTAGCCTAGTAAGTATGTGGTGTCTATGTGATCATAGAGAGTACATATAACGCGGAAATAGTACTTGGCAGGTTTCTAACCCGCACCCTCATGCATGAAAAGCGGGCGCCGAGAACCTTCGGCCCAGCACGACATTAACGAAATCGGTTTCTATTAAGTATGGGAGACTATTTAAGTGTGGGAGAGCCATGCTTCGGCACGAATGGGTCGGCTCGACCGGAGTGATACCACGGCCTCACAGAAAACTGGCGTGAAACAACCACAGCGTTGTGTTTCGCCGTGTGAGTGAGGTTACCGGAGGCCCAATCCTTCCCCTTCCCGGACCCTTCCCCAATCTCTAAATCTCCAAATCCCTAATCCCCAAAAGTCGGCAATGCACTCGTAACTCCTCCTTTGTGGGTGTCCATGGGCAGCGCTGATTGCTTACCATCAGGTAATCCGTCTGCTAGTTTGCCGACTTATTACATAAAAAAAAAGTATTGAATAACTTGTACAAATTAAACTAATGTTCTGACTTTTCAATGATCAAAAATGTCACCTCACAATCATAGCAGTGGCACTCGCATTCAATAGTTAAACAATTACCACGATAAATCCTTTTACAACACCTCTCACTATTCTGAATCCAACCCTACATTCAGGGGCATAAGAAACCAAATCCTTTGCACACTACATTCTAAAATCCCATTTGTAAAGTGGATGATAGAAATTGAACTATGATGTTACGAAGTTAAGGTTTATTTTTAAGTGTTGTGTATTTTGATGAACTTTAGATACGATATGGAGCACATACCGATATAAGGTTGGTCCGGAACACGGATTGCCTGTTGAAAACTTTATTAAACCTTGGAATTTAATGATATTTGTGAGGTATTTCTATGATGGTTCTGTGACTGAAGGTGCTTGGGGAAAGGATGGTAGTAAAACGGATGTTTTTAAGTACTTATGACTTCATGGCGAATAGTTTGGATCGGATATACGAGATAAACGAATTTAAGCTCTACAGATAAATGGCAACTATATCTGTGTGGAAGAGCCTTGCTTCGGCACGTATGGGTACGCTCGACCGGACTGATATCACCACGACATAAAACCGGCGTGAAACTACCACAGCGTTGTGTTTCATCGTGTGATTGAGGTTACCGGAGGCCAAATCCTTCTCCTCTTCTATCTTTTCCCAATCCCCAAATCTCCAAATCCCTAATCCCCAAACGGTCGGCAACGCACTCGTAAATTTTCTGTTGTTTCGGGTGTCTATGGGCGGCACTGATTGCTTACTACCGGATAATCCGTCTGACGTCCTAATCACATAAAAAATGTGATAATTTTACAAGGGACAGACCAATCTAAGTAATACACTAGTTATCTCTAAATTCCAAGCCACGTTCGTAAAACTAGGAAAGCTCAAACAAAATCTGACTCCTGAAACCAGAATTCCTTGTACAGCATTTACATTCGCAGCCACTCGATCAACAAGCCCATCATCATAATCTTCAAATCAATCAAAGCAAAAAAAAAACAAAACTAATTTAATAAAATAAAATCTCTCATCAAATTGACAGCTTACTATAGATTACGTAACAATTACGCAAAGCATAATGGGTGCCGTTACCTAGCAACCAGCAAATGGTTAATCTATTGCGCTTATGCCATGGTGGTATTAAAAAAATAACATGGTCTGTTCAGCAAGTGATATTATTAATGTTACCAAATGCATACGGATTAGTACAAGTTTGTTAATTGTAGTGTATTCAATATTCGACCTTTGACATATGAAGTTGGTCTAAGTTAAGAGCGATATGGCTTATGAATAGAAGTATGACGTTTTGAATTCAGAGGCAGAAAATTTATTGAGATTTTAACTATCAAAGTTTCATTATGTAGATAACATAGTATAGTAGTAGTAGATGTAAAATAGTGTAGTTTGAAAGCCAAATGACTGTTTATTGCTATTAAAAATAGATGAAACGATTTTTTTTTGCTCTCATATTATAGCTAACTAGCTTTTGCCCGCGACTTTGTTCGCGTGTAATAGTGTCTTCCTGCAGAATCTCGGTTTAAAAACTATCCTATGTCCTTTCTCGAGTTCCAAAGTATGTCTGTACTAAATTTCAAACAAATGGGTGCAGTAGTTTAGGCGTGAAGAAAAGACAAACAGAGTTACTTTCGCATTTATAATATTAGTTTGGATATTGACACCTTCAGATGTAAAGAACTGACAAAACAGAACAGAAAGGTCTATTTAGGAAACAAATGTGTTATATTCCTATTACTTATATGCTATCTGAACTCCCGATTGAAATATAATAAACTTCTCTAAAAACACATTCAGACATTTGACGGCACATGCGTCAATATCAAACACTTTTGGATGTCAAAGTTAGCCTAGCGAAGCGTCATGGTCGAGGGTTGTGAGGACGATCTGAACACACTTCTGGTGCCAATCGCTTTGCATCCAAGTGATTACTGTCATTATAACGAGGTCTTGTGATTCTTTTGCTCACGCTCACTTGCCTAACTACCTACTCACATACGTTATAAGATAAGTTCTGAGGAGGGCCCTCCTGCTCTTACATATTAAACGGTTTTATTTTTTTATAAAACAGTCTATTTTTCGTCTAACACTCAGCTTGTAACTTGGAACACACATCATAAATATAACAAGACCACATAATTAAAACCACCTGCTGAATTCTATTACGTTGCTGTACCTGTCGGCTTGTGGTCATTCTATTATTATTTTATTTGTATTTGGTAAGATTTTACCTATTTGTGTAGGTACAGTCAGGTTATAAATGATGTATGTGTTTATTTATACATTTTAATTGTTGCATTGTAATAAAAAACTTACAAAACAATACACCAGCAGCGCGTTATTACCTACATTTACACTTTACACCACCATTAAACAAATCTGTTCATCATTATTATTTATTTATTTTTAAGTAATTAATTAACTTATTTAATTTTAATTTATTCATTTGTGTATTTATTTATTTATTTGTTTATTTATTGATTTATTTATATATTTATTATTATTTATTTATCACTTTATGTACATATAAATACAAAGGCGGACTATTATAGAGTTTCATGTTCGTTGTTCTCCATTCGAAACTACAATTTGGAACGAGCACCTAGCTTCACTGACGAACAGACTGACAGACTACTTACTATTCTATTTTGACGTTTCAAAAGTACCTATTTATGGTTTAGTTGGAATAAATGATTTTGATTTGATTTGATTATATTATCAGTAACGAAATAAATGGTTCATTTATAACTAAACATAGAAAATAGCTTCCCTAGCTAGACTTTTATACACCTTGGCAGCTGGAAGTCACTAATAAATAAAACAGAATCTTATTAGGTCTGAAATGACTACGCTTTATGTATTTATTTAAGTAACTTTGTTCATTCAATAGCAGTTGCTATCATCAACAAAGTTTTCAAAATGACCAAAAGTAGTCAGAATTTTACCATTCACATTTTCACTCGATTGCTTAAATTTTTACAACTGACTGTACTTAGTTTTCAAATGTTCATCAAGCAATGCCTTAGGGCTTTCCGATTGATTAGATTTTAATTTCGCCACAATCCTCTGTCAATGATGCCCACTGGGGACTTTGAATACCTTGTATTCATCTGCTTGCACAGTGGGCGTTATTGTCACAAATTCATTGGTCATTAGCGAATTTTCGCAAGGATATTCATTAATGATTGACTTAATACTCATTATGAAATGATGACTTAACTGTTATTCAATTAGATTTTAATTTGGTATTCTTAATTTTATCAGCAGCATGTCCTTAATAAGTTGCTCAATTTTATCTGACGACTTGTGCTTCCGAAGACGTACTAACTTTACAAACCCTGTCTGTTATTTCTTACTACTTTTTTACCATAGATTATATTGGTTAAATTGTTCGAACAGATCTAACGCCAATTGAGTAGTGCAATGAGTCTTTATGTACACGGAAAAGCAGAAAGGATTGGTCCTTCTTGTTCTTAAACCTTAGATTGAACCTCACACATACGGCAATTCACAACGCTGTGGTTGTATCACGCTGATTTTCTGGAGGTCGTCGTATCACTCCAACTGAGCTGACCCATTCGTGCCGAAACGTCGCTGTCTGACCGCCCTTATTCTCAAATCCTGTAAATTCAGCAATCCCAAAAGACCATCACTGCATTTTTCTAAATGCCAATTATAAGTCTGAAATCGCCAATCCGCCTTGAGCAAGTGGGCTTAAATGCTCAAAACTTCTCCGGGTGAGAAGAAGCCTTTGCTTAGCATTTGGCACTTATAGGCAGGTGATGATTATGAGTATATTGTTCCACTTCACCGTACACCAAGTTCAAGGTCATCTTAACACATCTTGTTTTATTAACTGTAATTATATTTTCAAGTATTTTAGATACAACATTAAGAATCCATTCAACTTTATATGGAATGACCTTGATTAAACTGTAATCGAACATGTTGTAAGTCACAGCCATTTTGTGTACAGAAGTATTTTGATTTGATTCCAAATACCAGGATGGGTATTCAACTTTAAGGTTTTGGAGACAAGGTTAAAATTCCATTGAAGAAGTTTAACAGATTGGTATACGTTGATGTGCAACTGAACATAAAGTTGCGTTACATTTGAGTACTCTTGAGAATCTCTCATTTGTTCTGTCAATTGATAGATTTTAGTTGCTAAATGCCTATGTTTATTTAAAAGCAAGGTGAAATTGAAGAGTTTTCGTTTTAATTAAGTGGATCTCCCTGACCGGGTTATGTGATGCGTCATACGCGACTCTAGAGGGATAAAAAGGCCTACAGAGTTGTGATGAAATGGCGCATCGTTTTTTTTTGTGAAAATTAATGAATTATTTTTTTGGTTACTATGTAAAATATGCCTATTGATATGAGCTGTGATAAGCGAACATAAAATTGGGATTGAAAAACATTTACTAGATCCGTTTTATGTTTACTTATACCTAACCGAGCTAAACAAATAATTCAAAACAAGTTTTTTTTTTTTTTTTATATTTATTAACAAAATAGTTTTACATTACTAACTTACATCAAAAATCGCCAAACTGTAAGACAGTTTGTTGGCGATAGTGGCGCTCTTATGTTTTACAATATTGTTAATTATTACTATTAAAGGTACATAAAAGATATCTTTAATTTATTTATTTTTATATCTAAGACAATACAGTTAATTTTAATACTTATGTGTTTAGCATATTTAAAAATTCCGTTTTCAGTCTTTTCTTTAGGGTTAATGTGCTTAGGGTATCACTGTTATTTCTTATGAACGCTATTTTATTATAAATTATTGGGGTCAAATACTGCCTAGTTCTTTTTCCATAATAATTTTTAACCTTTGGTATTACAAATTTACCCTGTGCAGCTCTCCTGGTTTGATAACTATGTGTTACAGACTCTTTGTATTTACTTGTACTGTACTGTTCTATAGCTATAAGGTATTCTACTTTGGTATGTACTGGTAATATTTTACAAATGTTGTACAATCTCTCATAGTTCGGTTTACATTTCAATCTTACTCTTTTGCTTACAAGATATTTTATTAGTCTAGTTTGCAATTGTTTTATGTAATCAAGTTGAGTTTTGAATGTGAGTCCGTAACTACTTAGTCCATATCCAATTAGCGAGTCTGCGAGTGCATAATATAATACAAACAATATTTTTCTATTTACAAATCTATTAAGATGAAAGAATTTACCCAAAATTGATTGGAGCTTACTACATACATCTTTAACGTGTGATTTCCAGTTAAAATGATTGTCCACTGTTAAACCCAAGTACCGGTATTTGACTACTATTTCTATGTCCTGGCACCGACAGCTGGCTTTGTTATTGTGTAAACAATCATATGTGTGCCCTGTTATGTGCAAGCTTATATTACTTTTCCTTATATAGGTATTATACGGCGAGCTTATACACATAAGTTTTGTCTTTGCGAAATTTAAAATGATGCCATTGTCATGGGCCCATTTTATTATGTTCTCAAAGTCATTCTGCATGCAGGTTTGAGCCTCAGACATATTGTTTGATGAGTACAGTAGGCACATGTCATCCGCATACATAAAGGTCTTACAATATTTTATAACATTGATGACACTGTTGACATGCATTATGTATCCGACTGGTCCATATACTGAACCAGTTGGCACTCCAAGAGTAACACTTACCTCATCTCCAAATGTTTTGTTGACCATTGTACACAGGGTTCGATTTTTTAAGTAGCTTTGAAACCACATGTTAATCGGACCTCTGATGCCACATTCATCCATGGCACGCAATAGCACCTCATGATCCAAAGTGTCAAAGGCCTTTTTATAGTCAATAAATAAAGCGACCACAAACTTACCCTGGTTGAGACTGTTGTTCACATAATCGGTGAATTGCGCAAGCGCGGTGGTTGTGCTACGCCCTCGCCTGAACCCATGCTGTGCGTCTGATATTATGTTATGGTGCTTTAAATAACTACTCACTTGGTTTACAATTACTTTTTCTACTATTTTGTTTATCACAGATAAAATCGCAACTGGCCTGTAATTACTGTAATCTGTGTGACTACCTTGTTTGTATATGGGTCTTATTATAGATTTTTTTAACAAGTCTGGGTAAATTCCTTCACTCACACACATGTTTATAAATTTTGCTAACAATGGACTTATTTCATTTTTTACTTTACATTCGAATGAATACTTATAATTAAGTATATCGATCTCTTAAAAATTGAAAAACTAGTGCTATTTTTTTGTGAAGAAGGAATAAATTATTGCTTTCAATTTCGTTCAAACTGATCACCACAGATAGGCTCTAGGTGATATGTATGTTCGTTTGCTTTCGTATTCCATAAAGTAAAGTAATTCGAGGATTTCATCCCTTTCCATTCAAATTAAATTTACCACTTTATTATTAAATAAATTACCCATACTTTTAAAGAAACAGTAGTTAATTAAAGTGCATTACCAACTTAAGAAGAAGCTGTCAATTAGATGTACTTGAAATAAATTGTATAATTCGGTTAACATTGTAAAAGTATTAGATTAAAGTTTGTGAGGTCGATTTTAAGTGCATCAGTATTATATGGATTGAATCAATTACGATTACGATTGGTGTACAGGGTGTTAAAAGAGCATTTAAAAATAATATTGATTTATTTTATGATGTACCAATAGTTCCAGTATACAATGTTAATAGATAGAGAAACAGAAGATTCAGAAAAATACTGACAAAATAGGTACCTATTAGGCAATACTACTAATACCTATTTTGCTAGTATATATAACTACTAAATTACTTATTACTAGTAATCAAGGCTAAAAATTCAAATAATCAAGGCTAGAACTATTCCGTCGGGGGGTTGCGACCGTCGGGGGGTTGCGACGAATGCTTCGGCGATACCCGCCCCTCCGACACATGGGTTATTTGAGGAACACCGGGTTGGTTTTTAGTCAGTAAGAGTCTGACAGTACCTTCGCCCTTACCCGAGGGCGGTGGGTCAAAAAAAGGCTAGAACTATTGGTATATTCTTGATTATAAAAACTTAAACTTTCGGGTTTCATATTTACAACACCATCAAGCCTACCAAAGTATTGAAATAATACTTTTCGCGTTAATACCTATTTTATAATATGTAACTCTTAATAAACGGGTATTATATATTATATAATTATAATCAGACATGACAGCGTGAATGTAAATTATATATTATTCTCTCTACCGATTCGTGGTCGACATTATTACTTTAACTTAGGAATAAATTGCCGTAATAACATTCTTTTCCTTATTGTTCTACCACAAAATCCAAATATTTTCATACAACCTGTTTATTTGCAATATTGAAACCACGATTAAAAGGTAGCTTTCAAACTTTCGAGTTTCATGATAACTAGATGTTGTTAAACACCAAAGCAGACTGGTTCCACATGCACATGTCTGTTTGCGACCACGACCTGTGCAAACGAAACGTCAAGCCTTCCAAGGTATTTAAATAATTACTTTTCGCTATAATACCCATTTAATAAAATGTTGTTAATATTAAAACACCCTAGGTATAAGAATTCCATCGATATCTTCGGAATGCACTGTGCAGACAGCTGATGAGTGCCGTGTCTATGGATCACGATGATAGATCACGCGCCGATCTAGATTCTATAGTAAATCATCAACGAATGTCATCATGATCGGCTCGATTGATGCGCTCGCCAGAAAGTTTGGCTGTTATGAAATTGTTTTTTTATTGATTTTGCTATAAGTAATGTTTCGCAATAAGTCTTTTGTAAGGGTAAGGTATTAGAGAGACAAACCACAAAAAAAAATTGTAGGTATTTTTATATAATAAAAAGTATGGTTTGCACATTTAACTCATAAATAAAATATAAATAATGTTTTTTACTAAATAAATTTTACATTAACTTAACACAATTAGGTACGGTAGTTTAATTTTTTAGGAAAGGTCGGCAAACGACCCGATCGTGAGTCTTATGACGGTAAGCAAATGACGCCGCTCATGGATACTTCGTAACACTAAAAGACCACATTTGCGTTGCCGGCCTTTTTTGGGTGTAAGGGACTAAACTATATTGCTCCCTTAACTCCTCCGGAAAGATTTGGCCTCTGGTAAAAGACAATGTTAGAACAAGTGTTTTTGTATCACTCCCGTCGAGCTTCTTCTCTGTATACACGCGTTACACTGTTCTCACATATTCAAACCAACTAAATAATGTATCAAAGAATCTTTATGTGACACTGATTTTAAAAGAGTAACCATGGAGTTTCTTGCTCATTCTTCTCCATCGGAATCTACACTTTGGAACGAGCGAATAGCTTCACTAAGAGGACTGACCGACAGACTGACACTTTATATGTTTAAAATTTTGTTTGACGTTCAAAAGTGCCTGTATGGGTCTAATTGAAATAAATTATTTTGACTTTGACTTTGAGCCAAAACATGGCTATCGCACACTTAAACCAAAGTATCCGAAACAGAAATCCTCAAAAATATACAAATAGGCGGATCGATCAAGACCCCCATGTAAAAAGTAGTGCTCCTTGAAACAGGATTGTTAGGAGGTTGTTCTGTATCAGGAGTCCTAGCCACCGCGCACCCTTAGATTGGACCTTGCTCCCGCTACCAACTACCTCCTATTTTTATATTTTTCAATATTATTTTATTAATCATAATATTTTATAGCCATTAAAAATGTGCTTTTTAAAGTTATTTAAATAAAACATGGGGATAATACATTTAGTAATCATTACAAGTTTGGACTGGAAGAGGTCGCTCATTACGATTCAAAAGATTTTAATCCGAAATCAATCGTTATACTTACAATGGAAAAGGTTTGAATTTTAACTGTAGATATTATTTGAATAGAACTTAAACAGTTTAAGATTACATGGTCAAGTTGAGATGTGTTCATGGTTAACTGATTAGTTAACATTATGTTTTTGACTGGTTTGATTAAGTAACAACTATTTACTGAAGTATTTGTAGACTGCGAGTGGTATAAAAGATTTGTTAATCTCGACTTAATTGTCAGATCCGTTTTATTAATTAGGTATAGGCTTTTGATTCTTTGTGTATCTCTCGATTAGGACTACCGGAGTGATACCACGGCCTCACAGAAAACCAGCGTGAAACAACCACAGCCTTGTGTTTCGCCGTGGGAATGAGGTTACCGGAATCTTAATCCTTCCGCTCCCCCGATCCCTGCCCAATACCTAAATCTCCGAAACAAAAATCCCTAAGAGGTCGGCATCGGACTCATAACTAACGTCATATGATATATATCATACGACGTTTAAAATTAAGTAAATAAAAGAGAAAACGACACCAGAGACAGAGACAGAGACAGAGACAGAGACAGAGACAGAGACAGAGACAGAGACAGAGACAGAGACAGAGACAGAGACAGAGACAGAGACAGAGACAGAGACAGAGACAGAGACAGAGACAGAGACAGAGACAGAGACAGAGACAGAGACAGAGACAGAGACAGAGACAGAGACAGAGACAGAGACAGAGACAGAGACAGAGACAGAGACAGAGACAGAGACAGAGACAGAGACAGAGACAGAGACAGAGACAGAGACAGAGACAGAGACAGAGACAGAGACAGAGACAGAGACAGAGACAGAGACAGAGACAGAGACAGAGACAGAGACAGAGACAGAGACAGAGACAGAGACAGAGACAGAGACAGAGACAGAGACAGAGACAGAGACAGAGACAGAGACAGAGACAGAGACAGAGACAGAGACAGAGACAGAGACAGAGACAGAGACAGAGACAGAGACAGAGACAGAGACAGAGACAGAGACAGAGACAGAGACAGAGACAGAGACAGAGACAGAGACAGAGACAGAGACAGAGACAGAGACAGAGACAGAGACAGAGACAGAGACAGAGACAGGCCCTGGAAATCATTTGACAAAAGTCCGCGACTCCTTTTACGACGTGGTAAAGTGACTTCCACTAGATTTTTGGTATAAAAACTTCGAGTTCCAAATTATGTATATCTGTAACTAATTTCACAGAAATCGGTTTAGTAGCTTAGGCGTGATGAAAAGACAGAGTTACTTTCGCGTTTATAATATTAGTACCTTATAGATATAGATAATTATAAGTTTGAAATCGCCAATCCGCCTTGATGCGTAATGCTGAAATCACTATGCTTGATCTTGTATGAGGGAGAAGAGGTCTTTACTCAGCAGTGGTCGCTTATACGCTGATGATATGATTGTATTGTTGAAGTCACTGTTTGATTTGCAACCGATTGACACTTGAGTATTTAAACAGTGACAGGTCATTAGCACGTCACTATGACGTGCTAATGACCTGTCACTGTTTGACTCGACTCGACTCGACATGTCTGATATTGAGTGGTGACAGTCATTGTGAAATCAACTTATACCAAGTTGCATAGGCAGTGTCTACTATGGTCGGGAGCGAGTCAGGGTGGAGTGCCGTCGCTATCTTTTGCGAGGCCGTGATACTCGCAAAGGAGGCGGCGGAAAGGGAGTGAGAGGCTGCCTCCTCTTCCTCCCCCCCGCAGCAGACGCACTAGACGTCGTAGAGTGGCCGACCTGCGGCCACCGTAGGGCGCGGCCTGCGGACGACAGACTCGGGGCGTCTAGTCGTCCGACCAGCAGCAGGCCTCGAGGCAGCGGTGCCGTGTTCCGTGCGCGCCTCATAGTGGAGTCCTGCGGTCGGGGTGACGGCCGCAGTGGGTGACGGGGCCCCTTTCCATAGTAATACCCGTCGGGGGGTTGCGACGAATGCTTCGGCGATATCCGCCCCTCCGACACATGGGTTATTGGAGGAACACCGGGTTGGTTTTTAGACAGTAGTCAGTAAGAGTCTGACAGTACCCTTCGCCCTTACCCGAGGGCGGTGGGTCTCCATCAGGATATTCCAACTCGACACCAAAAAAAAAAAAAAAAGTTGCATAGGCAAGCTGAGTGATTCTAATTCATGATTTCGTTTTTGGTGTATGTTAATTTTGACCTAAGGGCGATGACGTAAACAGAAAATTGTTTGAAAAATAATAGAATTTTCATTAATGATTGATTTTATGATAATTAACTTTCGTATTGATTTTACTTATTTTTAAGCCTGAACTTTAATTATGGGTAATTTACGAAAAAAATAACACGAATTACGGACTTTAAATTTTATAAAAAGCTTTCTGCCCCTACACCTAAACTTTGGAATGATCGGCGGCGGTATTCCCGGACCGATACGACCTTCAAACCTTCAAGAAACGAGCGTACACCTTCTGAAAAGGCCAGCAACGCGCCTACGACTCCTTTGGTGTTGCGGGTGTCCATGAGCGGCGCCAATCACTTCCCATCAGGTGATCCGTCTGCTCGTTTGCCGATGTATTACATAAAAAAATAATGTAAGGAAATAACTTTTTTTAATTAAAATCTTTTTAACTACAGGCACCTAGCTAAAAGTTTGATTGAACTATGAAATGAAACTTCGCGTCCCACATGTTTAGACAAAATAATACCAAATACAAAATTATATTTATTTTTTTACCTGATGGTAAGCAATCGGCGCCGCCCATGGACACCCGCAACGGATGATTTACGAGTGCGTTGCCGATCTTTTATGGATTAGGGATTTGGAGATTTAGGGACTGAGGAGGGATTGGGGGAGGGGAAGGATTGGGCCTCCGGTAACTTCACTCACACGGCGAAACACAATGACGATGCGAAACACAACGCTTTGGTCGTTTCGCGCCGGTTTTCTGTGAGGCCGTGGTGTCACTCCGGTTGAGCCGACCCATTCGTGCCGAAACATGGCTCTCCAATATTTCGCATCGCATCATCACTTCATCAGCTTATAGGTAGAACAGGCCTTTGCTCAGCATCAGTGGGCGCCTCTTCTCACACGGAGAAGGTTTGAGCATTAATCATTAATCTTGCTCGAAGCGGATTGTCTATTTCAAACTTATAAATTGAAATTAACATTTTGAGGTACCTATACCTACGTGTTTCATGCATGAGGAGCCTTTACACCCGACAACAATTATATTAAGAACGCCATCTATCGGTTGTCGTAGTAACTTCTGAATGTCTGCTTATAAACTTTATAGATGTTCTACAACAATATAGCAAGGCAGACCAAAGAGAATGTATACCAACTTGTTGACTGAGTGTTCGGTAGATGGCGCTGTTTGTATGGTAAATAAATTGATATTATTGTGCTCAATCTTGCCCAAAAAAGTACCTAACCGTATAAAGTCTGCCAAACCTCTAAATAAAAGAACAATAAAATGTCTAGGTAATCGCTTTTTCATGATTCGGCTTTAAGTAGCAAAAAATCCTTTTTAATTACGTAGTCAGTTATAAAATTGTAATCATCTTGCTTATTATAACCAAAATAGTATCTATTTGAAACTACCATGTTAACAATCTATTCTCGATTTATAATACATACCTATGTATAATATGAAAGTGTCAGACATGCTGCCGGGACGGGTTCGACTCAACCAAAGTGATATCACAGAATTTAACGAAATTCTCCATAATCCGAATTTTACTGAATGATAATATGTTGTCGATTCGAAATGAATATTTTTTCATGTTTTGTTATCCATATAAAATCAAAGAATCCAGGTTATTATTGACAGTGACTAATAAACTCTTCACAGTGCCACAAATTAAAAATACGAGCCTAAATTGTAACTCCTTAGATATATCGATCGATGGTAATGGTGATACGTATAGGTACTCGTATACCGGCCGACTCATCCCATAAAAACATCAATCGGAATCAAACGAGAATCGACCTTGAGACTTCGTGTTATAATAAATCAACGTACCTTATTAGATTATTTAGAATTATCCGGGTTATTATGCGGGTCAAACGCAGTGATGTACCGTGGGCCCGGCCTTTAGTAAGAAAATGAATCGGATGGTTTTTAGTAAGTAAGAGAATGACACTAACTCTGGTCCAACCCTGGCCTAGAGAAGGTATCTAATTATAAAGTCTCTGATAGCATGATAAAAAAATGTTGTAAAGAGGACGAGTCTTCAAAAATTTAGGTGCCAAAGAAACTACTTAGTTCATTTAACTTGAATTTTTAACACGTAATAAAGTCTATTATTTCGTGTATACCTTTGTTCTTACTCCGAGGTGATACTGCCTTGAATATTGCGGCACTCCTCAAATATGTAGCATTTTATTAATGATTTATTATAAAAAGTGTCTCTTAAAAGTTCAAATTTATAATTAATGCAGACTGAGGTGAGTATGATAATGTATTTAAGTAAGGTTATCAGGTGGCCCAATCCTTCCCCCCAATTCAAAATCCCTAAAAGGTCAGCAACGCACTCGTAACTCCTCTGTTGCGGGTGTCCCCCAAAAGGCGGTTTTCTATGAAGTCCAAGGTCAAAGCATGGTTTGCCTGCATTATAATTCTTATTTGCTTGCTTTTAATCACTGACATTCATTTGAATTTTTACAATCTTAAATCTAGATCAATTACAAAATCTATTTGGACTTTGACTTTTTCATGAACTTGACACATACCTTGGCAACTTAAAATAAATCAAAACCGATATCAAATCGATAAAGTGATGAAATGAATTAAATAATTGTGAATATTTCGATGCTAACTTCAATTGATTTTATGAGAACTCGATTAAAATATTTTAATTGAAATTATTTTGATCATCGATTTTATAGTACTGCTTTTAATTTGTCTGGTGTTCAATTCTAGGATTATTTATAGCCGTTACTAAGAGTTTAGAATTTTAAGATTTATTAATTTCCGGTTAGTTATGAAAGAATGACTTTTTAAAAGTATTTGATATTTTGTAATATGTAAGTTTAATAGTATACAAATAGGCTCAACGTTAGATTTCTGTAATAAAATATGTGTCTAAGAAAGATTAGAAGATGCAATGAAACTAAAAATCAAGGTCTTATATTGTTCAAATAAGTTTTTTTTTATATTCTTTATTGGGGCAGGTATTCGTTTCATGTGTATATAGACACAAAAATTGCCTACTCCCGTAATTTCTTTCTTCGAAACTGCTCTTACATTATTTTTAGAAGATTAACTTAATTTAGATTTTCCTGATGATATCATGTGTAGTCTGTACCATGTTTAAATTAAAATCGGGCCAGCAGTTTTCGTGTTTTAAGACTTTAAAGTTCGTTGAAATGAAAAGGAAGGAGAATAGATTGTCAGGGATTTTTTACTTCAGCTTGCTTTTGGCAGCTTTAGAACATTGCCTGGACGACCTAGGCGTGGACAGTACTTCTGCTAGATAGACTAGTTGCAGTCGCGAGCAGCCAATCAATACTAATGACGAGCTTTCTTTCAATGTAAGCACAGTAAAAAGAAGAAGGCCCTTGCTCTTTTGTTCAACAGCAGACCCTCAACCTGTTGATGATAATAATAAACTTATTCTCTGTCATTACTGGATTTCAGTATCTGTCTAAAAGCAGTTAGCAAACCTTTTAAGTATGGGAGAGAAAAGCTTCGGCATGAATGGGTTGGCTCGACCGGAGTATCACTCCACGGTCCCACAAAAAACCGGCGTGAAACAACCACACCGTTGTGTTGCGCCGTGTAAGTGAGGTTACTTTAGGCCCAATCCCTGCCCCTCCCCATCCCTTCCCAATCCTTATCCGAAACCCTTATCCCTTAAAGGCCCGCAACGCACTCGTAACTCCTTTATCTATGGGTGGCGCTGATTCCTTACCATCAGGTTATCTGTCTGCTCGTTTGCCGACCTATAAAAAAAACCACCGAGTTGTTCTATCGTCATCTAACCTTTTGTTTTCAGGAGAATATCATTCCACTATGTTGAATATTATACTAACCTAGGTACCTACAGCATAAAGTACTAATTAATACATTGTTATGTACCCATTATCTTCCTCAACAATGAGTCACAACCTAAACCTCTGCTTACATCCGAAACAAGCGTGGGATGGCAAATCAACATCACACTCATTACCATGATAACTTGAACTTCGTTTATGAATACATCTTAAACAATGCAAGGTCAAATTATACTGGTAATAATCTGAACGTCTAATATAACTTGACCTATCATTGCGAGGGTTTCCTAAGCAATGTAAGGTTAAGTTATGTTGGACATTGCTGTGGTTCTGTACGTTTACAATCTAGGTATAGATCTCACGAATGTACTCTAAAATCTGCATTGTTGTGTCATGTTGTAACTTGTTGCAGGTTATCCATTCTTCTTGCTTGTTTCGGTTTTGGGACATAGATTAAGTAAGGTCGACAGTAGGTAGAATATTTTAATTATTGTACCTACGAATTTTTTGACTCTTAGAGGCAAGTTCAAGTGTGATTTACGGACTCTGTTTAATGGATGATGTGTGTAAAGTTTGCTACAGCTGATTGATATCTTTGGAGAAGTTCATTCAGTACCTAATCATGGGAATTGTTTTTCAAAATCATCAAAGGACTTTTCCCGCTCTGGGTGGGACGAGAAGGAATGTCAGACTCCTAATGATTAAACATCACCCTGTTCCTTCTTCGGTTCTGGGCTGCTTCTGGTAAGATACACAATAAAGGACTGAGTCCCGGAGGTTCTCAGCCTAGGCTTCGGTGCATTATAATACATTAACAATATAAGATTACACGTTGCCAATATGTTCGCAGTATGTAAAGGTTAAATTTGCGCTCATCTTATGATATAAATTAACGTAAGTGTAACATATCTAATTTTCTTGGCTCCTCT